CCGTCACCGTCACCGCAGCCCGTTTCCTTCCTGGCGCAGTTCCTGGTGCAGCGGTTCGAGATCGCCAAGTACTGCAGCTCGGACCAGGTGGAGATCTTCTCCAGCCTGCTGCAGCGCTCCATGTCCCTGAACATCGGCGGCGCTAAGGGGAGCATGAACCGGCACGTGGCAGCCATCGGGCCCCGCTTCAAGTGAGAGCTCCTCCCGGGGCACCAGGGTCCCAGTGTTCTGTTCGCTTCTGTAGGGGCGGAGCAGATCTCAGCGCACTGCTCCTAAAGGGTTGGCAGAGCCTGCTGGAGACACCCCACTCCCACGGAGCCATGCCCTTGTTCTGGGCCACCCCCCACCCTCCACCCTAGGTCCTCTAGTCCAGCCTTCTCCTGAGCCCTGGCCTCTGCTGTCTTCTGTGGGGCCTGTGGGGCCTGGCAGCCCCCAACCCCAGCTGCTGGGGAGATAGTGGCTCCTACCGCCCGCTCCATCTGCCCCTCCTCTGAGCTCCAGACTCCAGTCCCCACAGCCCTCTGGCTGCTTGCTGGGGCCCCACTTCTCAAAGCAGCTCTGGGGAAGGGCCAGCCTTGCTTCCTTCATTCCCTCTCCACCACGGGCCTGTGCTTTTATAAAATGCAACCAGAGTGAGTTCCTGAAGGCCACCTCCCTGGCCATCACACGCACTCCTGCGGCAGGCCGGCCCCTGCAGCCCAGGGTCGGTGCGGAATGGCATCTACACCCGGGCGTGGTGCGGAAGGCCTGCGTGACCCGGCCTCAGTGTACTCTGCCCCTCCTCCTCCTTCAAGTCCAAAAAGCCTGACTGCCCCTGCCTTACCCCCACCCCCAGCCTCGGCCCTCCCTGGACCCCGGTCACCCTGTCTCTGCCAAACAGAAGCTGCTGTCCCTCAGGGCCCATCTCCCGGCCAGGCCTTTCTAGATCTCTCAACCCTGGGTCTGGCCCTCTGGGAGAGCCCGCGGTGAAAAAGATGTCTCCGTGGTGGGACGTGATGAAAACAGATGGCTCTGTGGTGGGACGTGGTGTGGCTTCTCACACCGTAGAGCTCTCTGCCTCCACCCCGACAGTGCAGCTACTGCCCTCCCGGGTTATAGATCTCCTCGCATGTCGGGCAGTGCCTCCCTAGCCGTCCCTCATGCAGCCTCGCTGGGCCTGGCCTGGTGAAAGCCAGGTGCTTCGTAAATTGTTTCTTTTTATTTTGTTTTTACGTTATATGTTTGCTGCCCCTACAGGTGACTATACCTTGGGAAGCATCTACAGATAGCGTTTACTATTATTATTATTATTATTTTAATTTGCTATAGAACACTATCTACAGATAGTGTTATTATTATTATTATTATTATTATTATTTTAATTTGCTATAGCACACACACTCACCAGAGAGAGAGAGAAAGGGAAAGTGAGAAAGCAAGCTGCCAGATCTGGGACTTGAACCATGGTCAACCATGTGGTAATCCAGCGCCTTATAACCACCATGCCACCTGCCGGCCCCTGCAGATAGTTTTTAAGACTGAAGTTTCTAGCCAGACAGATGAACACACAAATGATTCACTTTTCTCCCAACCACAGTGAAGTTTAAAAAAAAAAAAAAAATCTTTCCTGGGACCTGTCAGATAAAGGGGATCTGTGACAGGTGTCACCCGACTTTGGCTCCGTTCAGCCTCTGCCACGCAGAGGCGTGCTCCGAGCCCAAGGGTCCGGATGGGTGCGGAGACAGAGACAGGGGCCCTGCGTGCTCGGCCCCATGCCAGGGCTCCTGCTCTGACTCAGCCCGCCCCCACCCCCGGGTCTCTCACAGACTGCTGACCCTGGGGCTGTCCCTCCTGCACGCGGACGTGGTGCCCAACGCGACCATCCGCAACGTGCTCCGAGAGAAGATCTACTCCACCGCCTTCGACTACTTCAGGTACTGCCCCCACGTGGGCTGCCCGTGCTGTCCAGGGCAGCCCCGCCGCGCTGTCTCAGATCCCAGGCTGTCCCTCCAGGAGGACACGTGAGCCTGCTCTGTGTCACCAGCCTCCTGTCCACCAACCCTGGGGCCACTAGATTAAACGTGCTCATCCCCACACTGCATCTCCGTGTGCGTGCATGGACGGCGCACGCGTGTGCACGCAGCGCTAGCTCTGCGCTGACTGTGTACACGGTGCTCCTTAGCTCTGTGGGCTTGAGAGATTAGGGGCCTGCTGTTTAACTGCCCTGTTCATGGGGATCCTTATTGCACAAAGGATTGCGCATCCCTGCCGCCTGGGGCTTTGCAATCCAGGCTTCCCGGTGTCTGTGGATGCTGGCTGGCTCTCTGATAGCCACAGGCAAGGTTGAGGCGGAGCTGAGGGTAGTGAGGTCTCTGAAACACTCACTGTGACTCAGAGGAGCTTGCAGGCGACTGGCTCTAGGCCACGCTTTCCTCACAGAGACCATCTCCCGGCTTCTTATAAAGAATGACCTAATCTGGGGACCAGCAGCTGATGTGGTGGTTAAGGTGCTGGAAAGCCCCAGGCCTGGCAGCTTATTTTCTCTCTTTGTCTATGGTCACATTAAAAAGTAATAATATTGGGACCAGCAATTGGCGCAATGGCTGTGTCGCTGGACTCCCACATAGTCAACCACGGTTCACGTCCAGACCCGGAGGCTTAAACTCACACCGGGGGCGTGTGCGTGCGTGCCCAAGATCCACAGAGGAGAATGGAGAAGGGCTGCGGAGTGATTTCTCGCTTTCTGTCTCTGTCTCTCTCTGTCTTTCTGGCAAGTGCATGCAGCCTATAGCAAAAACCTCTCCAAAGGAAAAAAAAGTAATAATATTAAATAAAAATAATTTTTTTTAAAAAAGAGTATTCTTAATTTTCCATAGGACACACGAGAGAGAGAAAGAACATGAGAAAGGCCCCCAGGGCTGGGTCTTGAACTGCCGTGAGCCATGTGGGAGTTCGGTGCCCCAGCCACCACTGCCAGCTGCTGGCCCCTCGTGGCTTTACGCGACTGGCTTCTAGCCCCTGACTTGAGACCCCTGTCCTCTTGTCTCATTTAAAGTTGCCCCCCGAAGTTCCCTACTCAAGGAGAAAAGAGGCTGCGGGAAGACATAAGCATCATGATCAAATTTTGGACCGCCATGTTCTCGGACAAGAAGTACCTGACAGCCAGCCAGCTTGTGCCCCCAGGTGAGCCTCGCCCTCAGAGGGCAGCAGGCCTGCAGGGCTGGGCCTCTGCCTGGGCACCCTGCCCGGCCTGCTGAGCCCCGGCCACACCCTGCCGCGTGGCGGTTGGAGGCCCAGTGCCTGCCTGGCTGGTGCCTCTCCTCTGCCGAGCTGAGAGGTTCCAACAAGCAGAGGTGGCCTCCGAGCAGACGCCATGGCTCCGAGCAGGCGGCCCCTGTGTCTTCCCTCTGTCAGCGCCTGCTCAGTCCCCTGAGCATCCAGCAGGCCTGGCTCTAGGCTAAGGCTTGGGGGCAAGACGAGTGAGCCATACCCCCTCATTGTCAGAGGGGACAATCAGATCTACAGGTCATTTCAACAGGAGGGGACCGCAGGAGCACCCCGAGGGCAGGCATCGGGCCAGCCAGAGAGGGGGTCAGTGGTGGCTCTCTGAGAGGTGCCATCAAGCCGAGTCTGAGGATGACGAGGAGCTCGCAGGTAGACAGTGACAAAGACAGTCCCTGGGAAAGAGAACATGCACGGAAAACACAGACGCGGCAGCAAGGGCAGGTCTCCTGAGGAAGCCACGTTCTCTGGACCCGCATGTTAAGAGAGAGAGGGCGGGACCGGCAGGTGGCATGGTAGATAAAGGCACTGGACTCCCACATGGGCGACCGTGGTTCAAGTCCTGAATCTGGTGGCTTGCTTTCTCACTTTCCCTCTCTCTCTGTCTGTCTGATCAAACTAGAAAGTAACAAAAATAATAAATAAAGTTAAATAAAATAATTCTTTAAAAAAGAGAGAGAGGAAGAACCAGCAGGTAGCGTAATGGCTATGTCGCTGGACTCCCACATAGTTGACCGCGGTTCGCGGCCCAGGCCCGGG